AAGGCAAGCGCCCTACCACTGAGCCACCTTCCCAGTCCCAAGATTTCTCTTAAGTGCTAGTCAATGGTGTGGATAAGATAAAGGATGCCCTGTCCGAACCTCTCTTAAAAAAAAAAAAAAAGTACTTGCTACTTCTTAGAGTATGGTCAATGGGCAGCCTCAGCTGCAGAGAACCCCTGGCCCAGGATGACACTCTTTCCAGCTGGGCCTAAGTTCAGGAGCGCTGTGGTAGAGCATTTCAGGTCTCTCTAACGCTGGCTCTCCTTCTCCCTTCTGCAGGGAGAAGCCTGAGATGGAGTTTAGCAAGCAGGGTATTTAATTCATAAAGCCCCGGGAACCCAGCTCCATGAAGGGGAGGCAGAGGAGATGGGTGGCAGAGCGAGCACTGCCACCCAGACCTCAGCTGACGTGTCGGCCCTGCTGCCCCAGAAGAGGAGCATGAGGCAGCCCAGGCCCTTCTGCTGTGTGTGAGGCAGCCCAGGCCCTTCTGCTGTGTGTTCTCCCTCCTCCAGGAGCCACTGAGGCCAATGAGGCCAAGAAGTTTCCAGTGCCCATCCAACTCTGAGTCATGACCCCAGGTTACTGCAGAGCTGTTCAGCACTGAAGAAGCCATCAGGCCAGACTGGGTTACAAATCAGCTCATTTCCCACCCACATCAGCTCATTGGTATTCTCGGCCTAGAAGGCCAACGGCTTGCCCCAGCAGCGGTCCTAGAGAGGCCTCCCACTCACTCTGTGGGCACACTGACCTCACCTGAGCTAATACTTGTCCCTGAATTACCATCACATAATGTTCCCCACATAGGCAGCATGCTCTCCTCTGCTCCCCAGTCCTCATCTGAAGATGCCCGGGTCCCATCACAGATGTCTGCAAATATCAGTGAACAAAGCAGATGAAATCTTTGCCCTTGGACTGGAGCAGTAGTTCAGCACTTAAGCTAAACCCAAGAGACTCGCAGAAGTAAGGAGCATGCTTGAGGCACTGGGTTTGATTCCTAGTACCAAAGAAAAATCTCTATCAACATGAGATTTATTTACTAGTGGAGAAGGAAAAGTGTGAAACAATAAACATATGCCAGTAGTGCTATGGTTTATTTATTTTTGGTCTGGTTGTGGGGCCTGAACTCTGGGCCTGGGTGCTGTCCCTCAGCCCTTCAGCTCAAGGCTAGCGCTCTACCACTTGAGCCACAGCACCACTTCCGGCTTTTTTCATTTTGTTTATGTGGTATTGAGGAATCGAACCCAGGGCCTCATGCATGCAAGGCAAGCGCTCTACCACAGAGCCACCTTCCCAGCCCAGTAGTGTCAAATTTAATCTTTTTCATCATATATTTTTAAGAGCCATGCTACGATCTTGGTGATGTTGCCCTCTGCTGGAGATAAGAGGAACTGCAGGTGGATCTTGTGTTCACTGCATTTGGCACATAATTCTTCTCAAGTCCATGGTAGGAATTTGAGGCTGTTCTTCAGAGTAATAGTATGGATCTATGGTGTAACTAGTGGTTCGGTTGTGGCAGGACTACTTGAGGCTACAAGTTTGAGACCAGCCTGTGTAACAGGGAGAACTTGTCTCAAACATAAAAAGGCTGAAGTGGTAGGGCACTTGAGTAAGTAAGGCTTTGGATTCAAACAAAAGTACTGTATTAAAAAAATAAATAAAAATAGGGCTGGGAATATGGCTCAGTGGTACAGAGCTTGCCTAGCATGCATGAAGCCCCAGGTCCAATTCCTCAGTACTACATAACGGGGAAAAAAAAAAAGCCTGAAGTAGCCTGGTGGCTCAAGTGGTAGAGCACTAGCCTTGAGCCAAGGAAGCTCAGAGACAGTGCCCAGGCCCTGAGTTCAAGCCCAGGACTGGCACAAAAAAAATTAAGATAAAAATGGCTAAGTGCTGGTAGCTCATGCCTGAAATCCTAGCTTACTCAGGAGGCTAAGATCCAAGGATTGAGGTTAAAAAGGCAAAGGCACAAAAAAGCCCATAAGACACTTTATCTCCAATTAACTGGCAAAAAGCTGGAACTGGAGGTGTGACTCAAATGGTATAGTGCTAGCTTTGAGCAAAAAAGCTCAGGGACAGTGCCTGGGCCTTGAGTTCCAGCTCCAGAATTGGCATATGCTGTGCCCGTGTGCACACACACAAATTAAAAATGCAAAGTGTAAACTAAAACATTACTTCCTAAGAACCTTTTACAAGCTAGTTTTTAACCCAGTAACAGAAAATGCACAACCATTTGGGGATGATGAATGGACATCTGACTGCTAGCTAATGTGTAGTGCTGATTGAGAGTGGAGCTTGTGCACCTCTGATTTTTTTCTTTTGCAGGAGGAACCATTGTCTGGCTGTGTAGCCCAGGTTGGCCTTGAACATTGAAATGCAGTTGTCTTCTCTTTCTCAGTGTGGGACTACAGTCATGTAGTATATCACTTACCTTTGACTTTACGTCACTTTCCTGGGCTCTGGTACTGGATTTGAACTCATGGCCTTATACTTGCTCAGCTTGCTTGCTTGGCTGGAGGCCTGCCACTTGAGTCAGACCTCTAGTCCTGCTTTTTGCTGGTTATATAAGAGATGGGACTCTCAAAAACATTAATGCTCATGCTGGCCTTGAACTATGATCTTCTGGATTTCAGTTTCTTGAGTATCTAGGATTATAGGCATGAGCCACTTGGCACCAAGCTGCTCACAAATTCTTGACCTCAAGGTCTTATAAATTGAACTCTGAAGTTGGTATAGGCAGTGTTCTGGCCTTTGACTAGATACTCACTTTATAATTATTTATTTATTTATATTTTTATTTTTTTTTGTCGGTCATGGGGCTTGAACTCTGGGCCTGGACGCTGTCCCTCAGCTCTTCAGCTCAAGGCGAGCACTCTACTACTTGAGCTACAGCGCCACTTCCGGCTTTCTGGTGGTTTTTATTAGAGATAGGAGTCTCACAGTCTTTCCTGCCCGGGCTGGCTTTGAACCTCGATCCTCAGATCTCAGCCTCCTGAGCAGCTAGGATTACAGGCATGAGCCACCGGCGCCCGGCTTATAATTATTCATTTATGGCCTTTGTCTGTGCTGCTGACTTGTTAAGGCACTCTTCAGGGAAATACCAGCACCATTACTAGGCCCGTCTCAGGATTTTGGGATTGCAACATTGCTTTGGACTTAACTAAACTTGACTCTTCCTGCCAGAATCACTTCAGTGGCAATCAGTCCTATTTATCTTTTTTTAATGCACTTGTCAGTTCAGAGGGAACTTTCTCAAATATTCCTGGGACTAGATACTTTTTACTGTGCTTTATGCAAAAATTTTGGAGTAGCCCAGATGAACATGGGAAACAGCTTTAGGTTTGTTTCACCAGGCCTCACGGGGTCTCCTAATAGAACAGCACCTTAACCTTCTAACCTGGTAAGTGCATCCCTCTCCTATCCACTTAGACCACTACATGCACTTTGTCTTCACCTAGTAGAAGTAGAGAACCTTCACATCCAACCTGAGGGGCAACCTGTTATTTTGCAGACACTGACCATCCTAGGGAAAAACTGTCTACTCAGGAAAGTTCCTGGGGGACAGCATGCTTCCCCTCTCCCAAGCAAAACACCAGCTAGTTCCTGTGCATAAGCCTCCTTAGTTCTCGTGGAGACTCTTTATATCCGGGTATGATTCCAAATGTGTTTACTTAGAAGCCCCCAAATCTATTATTATTTATCAGTCTTGGGGCTTGAACTCAGCACATAGGTGCTGTCTCTGAGCTTTTTTGCTCAAGGTTTGTGCTCTATCAATTTAAGCCACAGCTCCACTTCAGGTAGTTTTCAGGTGGTTGCCTGGAGGTAAGAGTCTCATGGACTTTCTTGTCTGGGCTGGATCTCAAACTCCTGAGCAGCTAGATTACAGGCATGGACCACCAGCGACTGGCCAAATCTACCTTGAGCAAGAGATTTTGTAGGTGGTCCAGCCTGTAGCCAAGTATGGTTTTGGAAATTTTTTTTGGGTCTGGTTATGGGGCCTGAACTCTGGGCCTGGGCACTATCCCTCAGCTCTTCAGCTCAAGGCTAGCGCTCTACCACTTGAGCCATAGTGCCACTTCTGGCTTTTTCTGCTTATGTGGTGATGAGGAATTGAACTCAGGGCCTCATGCATATGAGGCAAGCATTCTACCACTGAGCCACCTTCCCAGCTCCCTGGTTCTGGAAATTCTGACCCTTGTAATCCAACAGACATATATAGGCCTACTCTGAGAACACAGGAAGTTAAGCCCACCTGACAGCTGAAGTAAGGGTAATTCTGGGAGGAACTCTCAAGCTGTAATACAGGGCTGGAGATACATTCTATCAACTGGAAAGGCAAGAATCATTAGCACCCCTGGTGTTTTTGAAGCAAGGCCACGCCCATCTAACTGTCCAGGGCTCTGCTGGACATCATGGGATGTCACATAACTGCAGCTGGGACTGGGTAGGAACTGAGTCTACCTGTGCACCGAGAAGTGCTGTTGACCAATCAGCAGCCTATTATCCCAGCATTGGGATGGTGGCTATGTGTTGTTGTCAATGTCCATTTCTTTAGGAGAATCTGCATCAACATCAACAGTGGGAATAAACACTAAGGAATTACAGCTCCATGCTGGGCATCATCAAAGGGTTTGCCAAGCCACCCTGACCTCATAAAGCCTTGGCCAACTAGGCCTCCCGCACCAGCACCATTTAGTGAGTGGTCCCAAAATGCTAGCACCACAAATGGCTTACATGATTGAAGTTGCACACAGAACTACCAGAAGAAATGGAGTCTCCTTTGCTTTCACAGGGTCTTAGACACACCAAACCTTGGCCAGCAAAGTCTAGCAGACTCTCCTTCATTGGTTAGCTTATGTTGATTACTAGGGTAATTGACTATCCCCATTTGGAGCTAGTATCCTAAAGCCTCAAGTCATACAGACTTTGTTGCAACTATTCATTTCTGTCACGGTACCAGTATAAATGCAGTCAATGAATGAGGAAGGCTGTGTTCCAATAAATCTTTATTTACAAAAGCAGACAGCAGGTCACAAGTGGCTCATGTATCTCATGCCCTGTCTCTGTGCAGGGATGTTGCCCTGTGAGACAGAAACCACTCTAGGGTTATTGATGTCCTGAGGCTGTATATGACTGTGGTTCTGGGAATTTCTGGCCAAGTGATGATGAGCTTGAGACCCGAGGTTGAGGGCTGCCCAGGAAGGGCCAAACCTGTCTCATAGGCAGTGCTTTGCTTCAGAGCAAGCTTAGCCTTGCCTTTCCCATTCACACACACATACACACTGTCCCTACTGGGCCCCTAGGAGCCTCTGTTCTGCGACCTGATCACCTGCCCTTCTCGGGTGATGGCCCAGTTGTAGCTCTTTGGGGAGTCCAGTGCTTCTTCTATACGTGCCTCCAGGTTCTCCCGGGTGATGAAGTTTTTTGCCTCTTCCTACGAGGAGAGAAAAGGCCAGTTGCATGTGAGCCCTGTATGCCAGGCACAGCGTGCTGGAGGAAAAGACTCCTGTTGTCTCTGGGGAAGGGTGCCTGGAGCCCAGGACCTCTTCAGAATCCCGCTGTCCCAGAAGATCCCAGGTGTCCTTGCCATATTTCTTTCTTACACCATCATCCACAGGACACCTCAATCAGAACCCCAAGCACTAGTTGTGACAACCTTCTGTCCCCAGTGGTAGGCTCAGTCCCTTATCACTTCCTGGTCTCCCCCAAGCCCCTCTCAAACGTGTCCTTCTCTCTTATTTTAATCTAAATTCCATCTACTACTGTGGGGTTACTCCCCTGCTTTCAGGTTTCACGAAGTCAACCCTGACCTGCTACTTCCAATCCTTCAGTGATTTTTATCATGCTCAAGGTCAAGCCCAGCGCAGCCCTTCCCCTTGTCTGCTCTTGCTGGCTCTGGGCTGTCCTTTCTCTCCCCAGCCCGAGTCCCGCCAGCGTACGACCTCGACCCCCACCCCCACCTGCAGCTGCAGCACTTCTTGCTCCTTGAGCTGCACCCGAGCCTGCTCCTCCAGGGCTCGACGGGCCTGCTCCTCGGCCTGCCGCTGCTCCTGCTCCAGCTCCTCCCGTCGCAGTCTCTCAATCCTGCAACGGGGAGAGGGGGAAGGTCGGGGCTGAGCGGGACCCCTGCCTCCCCAGGCCCGGACTGCCCGCCCCGAGCGCCACGCACCGCAGTTCGTGCAGCCGCTGGTTCTCCGCCCGGTTCCAGGCCATCAGCCTCTGGTGCTCGGCGGCTTCCTCCCGCACCTTGCGCTCCAGCACCCCGGTTCGGGACTCCTGCAGCTTCCTCCGCACCTCCCACGAGAACTCCTGCCTGGGCGGGGACGCGCTTCCGGTCGGCACCCTGCCGCCCGCCCCAACGCTCCCCCGGGGCGCGCCGGCCGCCGGCCTGCGGGCACACACACCTGAGGGCGCGCACGGTCTGGCGGTACTGCCGGTAACGCTCCGTCACGACGAACAACTCCGTCGGGTCCACCGCGGGCGGCACCTTCACGCGCCCGATCTTGGACTTGGCGGGCGGGTCATGGCGGGTCTTGCGGCTGCGCGCCGGCGGCAACAGTAGCAGGGCCGGAGGCCGGCACGGAGGCCGCGCGCACACGGCGCTCAGCGAGCGCAGCATGCCGGCGTCCGCTCACGCCCAGCCCGGAAGCGGTCGCAAAGCACCCTGGGACCTGCAGCCTCCAGTCCCGCCCCCTGAGGACACGCCCCTTCATGGGCGGAGCTACCACGCGGCTACCCAACCGACGATCGCTACTCTTCCCCCCGCCCCCTGCAGCGGCGGCGGGGCGCGGCCTCCGCCGTCTCTCTGCCCTCCAGCCGCCCCTGTCGGCCCCGCTCCCTGGGGGTTCTCAGCTGGGGTGGTCTAGGGAGGGAACGCACGAGACAACTTGAGAGTTCACACTTTTTATTGAAAGGCGGCGGGACGCTGCGCTCGCGCTGCGTTCTGCGGAGAGAGGGGCGAACGAATCACTGGGCGTCCTGGTCCCTCCCGGGCCCCTCCCCTGTCATCCCGCCCGGAGGGTCAGACGCGCCCCCTCCCACAGGACCCAGCATGGGGATCTCCCACGTGTGGGCAGGCTGTCTGTCCTAAACCTGATGCGTGAAGTCCTAAGCTCTTAAGAGGCGACAGGTAGGACTGGTAGGCCTCGTTGGAGCTTAGACTTTCTTCTTTAGTAATGATGGATTTGCAGGGGAGTAATCAGCCACTTCCCCACAGATGTCCTCGGCTATGGCTTTCTGATTGCCGCTGCCACGACTCCCCTCTTCCTGCTGGATGGGAGAGGGGCTGCCCACTTTGACATATATTTTGCTTTGACATATATTTGCCCCAGGAGGGGCTCAAAGCTGCCACTCTTATTTAGGGAGTACCATTACATCCTACTCCACTAATGAATAGAGAACCCGGAGAGGGTGGGGGCCAGGGGAATCCCAATGGTGGTTCTCCTCTCCCCAGCCCCCAGTCAGGATGGCTGCTGGTGACCAGAGGCTGGAATTGAATGCTGAGGTCTCACCCCACTTACCAATAGTGTCTGCACCAAGTGCTGCTTCCTGTGGGACCACTGGGCCCTGGCCCTGGCCTCCCAGGGCATAGGGTCCTTAGAAGATGCCATAGCATCACTTGGGAGGCTGTGGGCACTCTGGAATAGGCTACCTGCTGCAGGACCCAAAACATTTTCTCAGAAGGGAACAGAGGTTGCAGCCTGTTCCCTCATCCCCACGCCCAGCATCTTCTTCCTCCCAGTCAGGGGAGGGAGACCTATCACTCACCTGAGGACCCAAGGTCACTCCGGGGGTCCTGAGATGAGCTGGGGGCTCGCTTTCCTCCGGGGTACCAGCCATGGGACCAATGCTGAGCCCTTGAGGGTCCAGGATGGCCAGTCAGCAGCAGCAGCAGGAGGAGGAGGTATAGCTTCGAGCTGGCCATGGCAGGGCTGCTCTCAAGGACAGTGGACAGCACTCAAGGACCCTGACATTCCCACTTAAAACCTCTTTACCTTCCTCCGAGGATCAGCCCGGCCAACTGGCTCCTCAGAGCACCTTTAATGTTCCCCAAGCTCTTCCCTTTCTGCCACTCTGCACTTCATCTCAGGGCCTCCAGGCCTCTAAATCCTGAAAGATCATGGCCTGTGCCAGGGGAGGATGCTCTAGAGCATCAGCTGTCTCCCTTCCCAACTTTGCCAGCTAAGATGGCTCTCCCAATTGATCAGACCCATCTTTTTCCCTCAGGAAGTTCCAGAAATGGAAGGTTGGAGAGGGGAACAGACTTCCAGCCAAGGATGGGAAGATGGATGTTCTCTATGGGATAGGGCAGCAGTGGAGACATTTGGACCATTGGTGTTAGGAAACCAGAATGGCAGATGCTGCCCTTTCTCTGAGAACTCCCTCTCATCTATGATTGTTGGGGATGTGGAAAGAACATGGTGGGGAATGGGAAAAGTGTGTCAGCCTCTTGCCCCTCTGAGGCCAGGGTGGCAAGCACACAGGGTAGAGGAAGGGGAGCGGAGAAAGAGGGATCTTTCTCCTCTTGGTTTAAGGGTGACAGGGCTTGGGAGAGAAGAAAGGAGGAATGGAGTTAGAGTCAGAAGCCCCAGCCTTAGGGGGAACAGCCTCACTCACCCAGGAAAAGCTGAAGTGACTCCTTCAGGCTCTGCAGGACCCTAGTCAGACAGCTCTAGGATTTATTGATCAGTTGGCTCCACCCCCTGCTCTGGCCCAGACTTCAGTGACGTCTTTAAAGCAGGGGGGTAAGGGGGGGAAATTGACCCTCCCGTTCCACAGCATCTACTTCATGAGCAAACACCAAGCTGCTGCTGACTCTAAGGTCCCCACACAGATCCTCACATCTATCCCCAAAGTCAAAACAAAAATCAAAATGGTAGTAGTCAAAAAGGAAGGCAAATGGTTATGTGTGGTGGCTCATGTTTATAATCCCAACTATTCCAGAAGTGATCTGCAGTATCCTATCTCATCCAAATAGCTGGACATAGAAGTTCACACCTGTAAACTCAGCTGTGTAGGAAATGGAAGTCAGAGGATCAAGGTCTGAGGCCAGTCCTAGGCAATAAACAAGACCCTATCTGAAAAAGAAGAAAAAAGAATAGAGGCATGGTTCAAGTAGATCATTTGCCTAGAAAGCATAAGACCCTGAACACAAAAGTCTTTTTCAGCTTTACTGATAAGTAAAACTGTCACACCTATAATACATTGGGAACTGAATCCAAGAGGAATGATTTTCTGGAATCTAATGATACTTTTCAATGTTTGAAACACTGCAGCAACTAGTATTGTCTCCTGAGTAGAATACTGCAAAGGATTTAAAAAATTTAGGATCACTCTGATTTGTGCCAAACTTGCTTCAATCCTATTTACCTCCCCCAAGACTAAGCTGCACATGGCTCATGGCTTCTTGTTCTGAACACTCAAGCCTGCCTTCCCTTGGTGGGAATGCTGGTTCAGTTTAACAGAACTTGTGCAAATCTGTTTGGCACTTGAATAAAACTCCTTTATTTTAACCTCGTTCATGCTGTCTTGGTTTGCTGAAGTCATAGGACTCCTGCTCCAGGATGGTCCATGCCCTCGTTTCATCTTCCCACTTCTGTGGATGCATCCTCAAGCTCCTGACCTTGGGGCCCGTGAAGCCCTCCCTGACACCAAAGAAAAACGGAGGCCTAGAGAGGGGCAGTGAATCCCACTGAAGGGTCTGTCCAGTAGAAAAGTAGGAGCCTAAGAGTGGGGAACCAAATTGCTTATAGAGAGGTCTGTGGAAGATTACTTTTCTCAAGGGCTCCCACCACCTATAAAATTGTCCTGTCCTTGAGGTGGGACCATTACCCATGGAGGTGGGCTGTTGGGATAGTACCCACCCAGGGTGGCCTCTCTTCCAAGGGGGCCTATGGGGGGGGGAGGTAGCTGAGAGACCTGCAGTCTCCTTGGGGGTAATTTTGTCCCCTAGGGTTCTAACTGCTCATCTTGTGCTCAACGCAGGCCCAGTCATAGATATGACGGAACCAGCGTGGGCTGCAGGAAAGGGCTCTCAATCTCCTGGCCTGCGTCAGTAGCTTGGCTTCCATCACCAGCATCAATATCCAGGGGTTGGAGGCTTGTTTACAGGGTTAATAGCCAATCTCTGCATTTGGATTGCCCAGCAAATACAAGGGCAGGGTCAGCCATGGCATTGTGGTGGCCAGAGTCATTGGACAAACAGATGCATCAAATCTTGTGACAGTCATGGTGGGGGTGGGATGGGCACTACTGTGATTTTCCAAATTGACTTATCAGGGATTTGAAATGTCTGTGAGGAAAGTACATTCAATGTCATTGTTTTGGGAAATATACAGACTTTAATAACTGGGTGATTTTGTTTTTTTTTTTGGGGTC